CGATATGTATTTCTATATATGAACTAGAAATGTTCATGAATTCTGTTTGTGTTTAGATACGCTGACTCATCAGGTGTTAGAAACCGCTCCATAGGACATTGGTTTGCGGGAAACTTAAATATGTGGGAAAACAAGTATTGAATAATTAAATAGAAAATAAGTTCTGAATGGAATAAATACCTTTTGAGGTGACTTTTTGTGCTGAAGGGAAAAAAAACTGGCTTTAGCAGCAACCCAGCAGCAGCATGTGATTTAAAAAAAACTGTGACATGGATGTATGTTTTGATGTCATTCATTCACTTTTTGGCCTTTTTGTGTGACTTTAACCCCAGCACACAGCTTCCAACCATAACGTGAGCTCATTTGTCTGCTCCTCAGGTGTACTTCTGGACCTCCAGCCCTTCTCTGCCAGCCAGCGAAGAGGGCTTCCAGCCAATGCCCTCCATCACCATCCGGCCTCCAGACGACCAGCACCTCCCCACAGCCAATACCTGCATTTCACGTCTCTACGTGCCACTCTACTCTTCAAAACAAATACTTAAACAGAAACTCCTGCTAGCCATTAAGACCAAGAATTTTGGTTTTGTGTAGAAGTTCAACAGAACAGTTTCAAAAAATAAAATAAAAATGCGTTTACTGTTGTGTAATATTTACCTAGCTCCATTTTTGTAGATTTTTTTTGTCCAGTTTTATGAAATTTGACATAAGGTCACTATCTCCCCATATGTTAATAATTGTTTGTGTTGTGAACACAAACAGCATACTTACTTTCTTTTTGTTTCTTTTGTTGTAATAAAGAGGTATACGGTCCAGAACATTCCTGTATTGGCACTGTAAAACATAAAGCCCCACAGCTCTGTTCTATTGGCTTAAACCTTCGTTTACCAGGAATTGTGTTTGACAGTAAACTGTCAGCCAAAAACTTAGCCAAAGATGACAGCAGTAGAAATATTAAAAAGAAAAGAAGAGACACTGTGATTAATTTCTTTTTCCTTCCCAAGAAAAGTACTATCACTGACAGTTCACTGCTGCCTTTATGGAAAGTCTTTTTTTTTTTTCTTGTACAGGGGGAGTAGGGAATTTCAGAATAAACTTGGATGTAAATAAGTTGTGTGGTCATTTTGTTTGTAGGAATTGTGTGATAATCAATATATTGACCTAGCTGATAGAGGCGAAAATTAAAAAATTACTAAGTGAAACTGCGTTTTGTGTGTAAGAGAGATTTGTAAATTTTTAAACATTCAACTTAAGTTTGATTTCCTAATTACCGTTGGAGCAACACATTTAACAGGGCATTTTAATACAAAATCTATCCATATTATACTGGTTAAGGTGTCTTAAAGTTTGTTTTATAAATGTTAAAGGAAAAAACTATAGAAAAGGATTAGGGCCATGATGAAAAATTGGCCATAAACTACTTTAGTAAAAAACTAAATCAATACAAAAATGTCCCTAAAAATGTACTGGAGGCTGGCTGAGTTTTTGAACCTGTTTTGACCAATCAGAGCAGACTTAGTCACACTTTCACTTCAAATCCGTTTTTGTTGCTTTCAAGAAGGAAGCAAAGTAAAAAATATATACGTGGTTAAGCACGATATTCATTACATTTTAGCTACACGTATTAAAAATGTTCTGAAACAAAAAAGCCGCGAAATACAAAAAAAGCTTGATTTATCTCAACTGTAATAAGGGCATGTAGTTATGATTTACAACTAGGGAGGTTGGGTTTCCGACCGTCTTGAAGGCAACACCGCCCCTCCAGTGATAACGGAACCATATGAGGTGAACTTGCAGTAGTAGCGTTGTGCTAGTTGCCACACGCTTGTATTTGATCTTAAACCGTATCGCCTAGCTGATTTTGCTCATAGTTTGTCACCGCAGCGTTTTTAAGAAACCTGCTAGTTAGCAGCTAGCCTAGCTTAGCCGATGCTGCTGCCTGATGAATTAATTGTTTGCCATCATGTCGAAGTTGCTTCGTTATTTTTAGCTAGCGCGACGAGAAGCGATAATCAAAGCGTGAAGAATCGGCCAGTTGCTTGAGAGAGAAGAGATAAAAGAAGCAGCGATGGAGCAGTGGCGAGACGCGACCTCTCGACAGGTTAAGCTGCTCACTAATCGTCTGAATGTAGTGTTGTCCGAAGGCCTGGAGTGGCTGCGCTCTGAGTTCGGCGTGGATCTGGGGCTGAAGCCTGACCTTATTCCGCCATGGGTAATGCTCTCTGCGGCGTGCGCCGGAGTGCTGCTGCTGCTCGTCCTGTGGGCCTCGCTGTTTCGGGCCATTTTCAAGAAGCGGACCGTCAAAACCGCTGCGGACGACGAAGTGGAAGTAAGGCGAGCCCCCGTCAAGCCTGTGAAGTCAGAGGAACCGAAGAAAAAGAGGAAAAAGACCGAAAAGGCACGTAAATGAACCTGCATGACAACCGTGCTGCTAGCATGTGAGCTAAGAAGCTACAGCGACACGGCTAGCATATTGCTAGCTCTGCTGGGAGCTCCCCTCATTAGTTGAATGTTGGTTAAACTGTTGGAAAGCTTTACGGCTTTCTTTGATGCACTTAATTCGTAATCGTTATGTGTGATTTTCAGAAAGCTCAGCCAAATGGAAGAGCTGTTGCTGAGCCTCAGGAAGAAGCCATCGTGTCGGAAGAGATAGTGCCACATCACCAGTCGCCTCCTCCAGAAGTCAAGACTGAAAAGACTGCTGAGGTAATTTACAAGGTTTGGCACTAAGATGTTGTTTAATAATAATAATATTCAAAATTATTTAGTAGTTACAATAGTTACAAACAACTAAACCTAACTATGTAGTAATAACTTCATTATCTTGATAGTTTCATTTCATGAAAACTAGTGCACCCGTCACCATTCAGTAACTAACTGCTTAGTCATTTTTAGGTTTTGGTTTTATTCATTTAGCAAGTTCTTGGCTATGATAATGACAGCACAAGATCTGTTCCCACAGATAACTCTCTATTTGTGTTTCTTCTATCGCATGCAAATTTATTCTCCTGTTTGGAGACATTTTGCACAAAAACTACATATTTAAGGGATTTACTTATGAAGCTCAGCGCCTGCTGATTTGATTTATCTTGGTTTAGTGAGCGTGGAACTGATTAATTCTTATATTTATTGGAATCCTATGCAAATGCTGTATTCATTTTGTTTGAATCTCTAGTATAATGTCTATTCTTATGCTTGGTTTCATTTTGCAGACAAAGAAGGCCAAAAAGAAGGCCAAACAAGCTGTGAAGGAGACCAAGACGGTGACTGGTGATGGCAAAGAACCAGAAGAAGGTGAAAAATAATCAGAATTGACTTGTTTTGATAGGAGTCTCTTTGCTTGTATTTTATTAAAGCTGATGCTATTAAACAGCTTTTATTTTATTTTTAACTCTGTTGTGATTGATGGTTAGGAACGTGAGGTTTAAGTTAGGAAACAGGGTCGGCCTGTTAGTTTTTTTTTTTTTTTCTCAGCAAAAAATGCAGTTGCCTAATCCCTACCACGTTTTCCTTGCTAATCCCGTAGTGGACCACTCCTAGACTCTGGACTCTGTTACTTTTCAGGAACGTGGGAGACGAAGGTCAGCAACAAGGAGAAACGTGAGCAGCGCAAGAAAGACAAGAGCTCCAGTGACGGCTCGGCCAGTCCTGGAGGCGGGAACACACCCGTCAACGTTCCCCCGGAGCAGCCCAAAGCCTCTGCTGCACCCCCTGCACCTGCCAGCCAGAAGAAGAAAAAAGGTGCTGATGGCTGTTTTGTGTGTAAACGTCTGCAGGGAAAAACGAACCCTGTGGACCTGTGCAGATAAACAACCTAACCTGACATCCATTCTTCTGTTAGTSTCTTGTTGACAGGATAAACTATAAATACCAGTCCTGTGGGCATTAAACCTCAAACCAGTTTTCTCAGGAGCAGTAGAGCTAAAGTGTGTTTTGAGTGTGCAGGTGTTCGAAAACAGCCTCCTGTGGACAGCATTTATTGAMCTTTTTATGTTTTTAGGAGAGTCTGCGAAGGTGAAGGCCGAGAAGCTCGAAGCTGTTGTTCCTCAAGGTAATTAGCAGCCGATAAATGCCTCGCCTTGTTAAGATAAGATAAGATAATTTATTAGTCTCCCGTGGGAGAAAATTGTCCTGAAAGCAGGTGCAAGTACTACAACATGACAATAACAATTGCAATAAAACTCATCAAAAGGACAATAACAATGAATAATGCATAAAAATACATTAAAACCACAAATGTCAGATCAGATCAACTCARCAGTACATCCTCTACATGCTAGTCTTGGTCATCGTCTGGACCTCCTATCACTCTGTCCGGTCCCTGCTCGTCTGCCWTTTATCAGATTAATAGAGAGAGGTACAAATGAATGTTTCAAACGGTTGTATTTGCAAAGGGGGACCCTGAACCTTCTCCCAGGATTCATAAGAACGTATTCTGACACRAGTACATGGGACCCATCAGACAAGATGTTCTCAGCTTGCCTGATGGTAGCCTGCTCAAACAGGAGTTGTGGAGTAGATAAATCCAGTGTTGATAATCTTACTTGCTCATTACTAATTCAGAAAGTCAGCCCATACTGAAAGCAGTGGGAGCTCATTATTATTGTAAATCTCTAAGACCTTTCAGTGTTACGTGTGTGACGTCATTAATTTAATTGTGGCTGAATAAAATATATTTGTTTTATTTTTGGYGTTAGGCAACAGCAGCAATGCAGCTGTGGTGGCAGCTCCAGCTACAAAAGTGGCTCCGAGCGCTGTTGCTCCGAACGTAAACTCCTGGACAACTCCAAGGCAGCCAGCAGCRCATTGGAGAGCAGAATTTGAGGGTAAGAAGGATTTCTCTTTAAATATTACCTGTTGGTTCAGTTTAAAATCAGCTGTTTTTTATTGATTTTTTTTGCAGTAATATTAAAGACAAAAAAATTGCTTTGCCTCWGATATGTTAAGATATTTAAACCGTAGGAATGATACAGTGAAAGATATTTAGTGACGTTGACATTGTGAATTTGAGTTTTATCTTTAAACTTGTAATAAGTTCACACCTGCTGCTGTATTAGTTTGTAAAAAGTGGGTTCTGAGTAGAACCGTACCACATAACCAAAAAGCACCAGTAGTATTGCTGGTGTTTTAACAGCGTTAGTAGATACGATGCTTCTTAGTGGATAAAAAAGGCAAACTTACTAAAATTAAGTCGTCATAAGGGAATTTGTTTTATTGATATTAAAATGTTGGGTTAAGTTTGTTAAACATGAGTTGAGTAGAACAGCATTGTAAGTGTGTGTGTGTGTTTAATGTGTGTGTTTCAGCATGGACTGTGATTGACAGGCCCATGCCCACACCAGACCTGAATCTGGTGTCTTTACCTGGCCTGGGAGTTGGTGCTGCTCGTAAGTTTACCGAACTCTGAAGTGAAACGGTTTCAATAATCATACGCTCCACTAGGTGGTGCTGTTTCCTAAAACATCCCGATGCATCTCGTAGAAAAAATCAAAAAGAAAAAATAAGTAGGTCCTCTGGATGGACCTACTGAAGAAGTCTCTTGGATGAGAGACGAAACGTTTCACTAAAGAAGAACCCATCCAGAGGACCTACTTATTWTTTTCTTTTTGATGTTTCCTAAAACATTTCTTCTTTCTTGTTTGTCCTTGTAGAGCCTCAGCCTGTGAGGGACCTGCCGTGGCTCGGTCAGCCCAGAGTGGACGATGAGTGGTCTGGACTCAGTATGTTTCTTTTTTAAAGCTCTCGATTGAGCTGAACTGATTTGAAAAGCTCCTTCAGTTCTCTGACGGTGTTTGTGTTGTTCAGATGGGGGTTCAGCTGACCCCAGCTCTGACTGGAACGCTCCATCTGAAGCCTGGGGAAACTACGAGGAGCCCACCCCCGAGCCTCCTCGGGCGCAGGAGATGCCGCTCCCCGAGCCAGCCAAGGGTAATCTGATGGGGCCAGCTGTAAGTCTAAAATGWTACCTTGGAGGTAAAAAATGAACAGTTCAGTAATTAATGGACCTGGGTYTGGACTCAGCTCTCCTGGTTCTTTTCTCTGACTTTAACTCTGCTTGTTTGTAATAATGAGTTAACAGAGTGGGCTGAATTAACAGACTTTTAATGTTGTAATCCTCTTTATTTACTACCAACCCCTGCACACCCTCACAGCACCATTAATAAGAACTATTCCCACTTCTTAAGGAAAACTTGTGAACAACTTTTTGTTTTGTCTTTGCATGTTTTTATATTTATTTTATCTTCTACATTTGTCTAACTTGTTTTCTTTACAGGATGAGGATGATGATGATGAAAAGGAGAAGGGAGATGTCGGTAATGATGGAGCAGCTAAAATCAAGAAGAAGAAAAAGAAGAAGAAGAAGGCTGCTGAGGAGGGGGGAGCAGCAGGCCAGGTAACAATACAAACCCATCACAGAATCAGTGGTCCTGTTTGTTTATAAGCTATGATCTTTATCATAGCTTGTTTCTAAATGTAGCCATGACTGTTTGATGAACCCCCCTGGTGTTGTGTGCAGGCCGAGGAGCTGCTGAAGGAGACTAAGCCAGCTGCCTCTGTGATGAAGCAGCAACCCGCTCAGGAGATCTCTGCTGCCGTCCAGCCTGTCAAAGCTGCTGCTGCAGCTGAGGTCAGTGGCTTAAAGAAAGATGGAAACCCAACACAATCTGATAAACGTTCAGAACTATACATGGTTCATGTTTATACACCATATTCTTCATGTTCTAGAAGACATTTTAAAATGTTTTCAGTCTTGATCAGTCATGGAAGGATCACCTCAAGTTAATAGTTTTTCAGAACTTTATTCTTTTTTTTCTCCCCATATTTCTCTTTGAGCAGACTAGAGAGCGACAAGTGAAGGACACCATATCCCAGAAACCCCCTGTCACACAAGTGCCACAGAAGCCCACTGATGGAGAGCCCACTGCCAAGCAGAACAACCTTCCTGTTCCAACACAGCAAAGTAAGCCCTGCTCTGTCCGACCGGAGGCTCTCAGCACCACTACTGAGGTTTTTGTACCAAAACTGTGTGATTATTGCTCAACTAGRAGCTGTGTAATGACATTTTGGAGACCATTTCTGCAAAGACTTTCACAGGAAAACCAGAGACTAAGAAATAACTCGGGGAAATCTAAGCCTAACTGTAGGATTTAACAAAAAGGAAAGTCTTCAGTCTAAACTTAAAAGTAGATCGAGTGTCAGCCTCACAGCTTGATAACGGAAAGCTCTGCCTCCCATTCTACTTTTAGAAACTCTAGGAACCACAAGTAAACCTGCAGTCTGAGAGCAAAGTGCTCTGTTAGGAAAGTATGGAACAATAAGACGTTTAATATACGATAGAGCTTGGTTGTTAAGAGCTGAAACTCTGATCCTGGCACCTGAAAATAAGATCCCTCAGATAAAAGAACAGCTGGGCTCTCTGGGGCCGACTGTTAAAAAGAGTTTATGGAATCTGGGAGTCAATTTTGATTCAGATCTGTCACTAGATAAACACGTCAAAAATCTAGTTACCTCGTGCTATTTCCAACTCTGTAACATTTCTAAACTTCGCCCCCTCCTGTCTGCCTCTGACCTGGAAATGGTAATCCATGCCTTTATCTCAACCCGTCTTGACTACTGTAACAGCCTGTTCACCTGCTTGAATCAGAAACAATTAAACCGGCTCAAACTTGTTCAAAACTCTGCTGCTAGACTTCTAATAAGAACATCCAGATTCTCTCACCGCACCCCTATATTATCAGACCTCCACTGGCTACCTGTACAATTCAGACTCAAGTTCAAAATCTTGGTTCACACTTTTAGAGCTCTACACGGCCATGCGCCGAATTACATCTCCGGTCTTCTCTCGCCTTATTACCCCAGACGCAACTTGCGCTCACAAGACCAGAATCTTCTCTTGGTCCCCCGTACTCGCTTTAAGACCTATGGTGACTGTGCCTTTTCCTCAATGGCTCCCAGACTGTGGAACGCCCTTCTGCCCTATCTAAGATCTGTTGATAATACTGACTCCTTTATAAAACAACTAAAAACACACCTTTTCACTCAAGCATTCAACTGAATATATTCAACACCTCACAATTTGAGTTTATAAGCCCTGTGTTATTCCGGTTTAGTATCCATCCCCTCCGCCTATAATAGTGAGAGATAAATTAAACTCCTTTTTGTTTTTGTTTCAAATATTGAATGTATTTAATGTATAATTTGTACAGCTTTTGTGATATTTTGATATTTTTGCTTTTTCTTTCTGATTATGGATGTACAGCACCTTGTGAAATCCTTTTCTGTGAAAGGCGCTATAGAAATAAACTTTTACTTACTTACTTACTTACTTAGTGGTTGTATTGAACTCTTGTTTGTATTGCCCCACCTCTCAGTGCAGTAAATTAGATGAGGTAAAACTAATGAAMAGTACAGAATCTGAAGTGACTCGATGTTCAGAAAAAACCTTGCTTTGGCCATAGTTAAAATGCTTCTTGATAATTTATTACAGACACATTTCATGTGAGACTTCCACCAAATTTTGACAATCTGATATTGTCCCTCCAAAATTTAGTTTCCTTCACTTTTTCTGAAGCCACACCCATTGTGTATGTTTGGGTTCTTTAGCTTATTGTGTGTAAATAACATAAGTCTAGTTCAGGTTTACTACTATCATGTTGGCATAATCAGTTTTAGATTTTGATGAATTCCAAAGTAATAGTTTCTCAAAGTTGTTGTAAAATTCTCATTAGAATCTAAAATGTTAGTATAATCAGCAAATGGGATACTGTTTAGGGTTTACATTAATGTACAGGATAAGTAACTGTGGACTTTTGACCCTTGTGGAGCACCTTGTACACAATGTCCAAACATCTAGACTGAAATTCTTTCATCTTCACAAATTGTTTCCTGCYATTTAAAWAGCTTCRCATCCAGTCTAGTTCAATTCCTCKAATCTTATTTTTACAATTTTATTGAATATTTCATGGTTTATTCTGTCAAACACTGTTTTAGATGAATAAATAGTCACAACACAAATTAGAATGTTGTTTGGTTTTTAGACTTGTATTTTCACTGCTAGAAAATGGCATGCCTGTAAGCTAAATAATTCAAATGTCATTGCAATTATCAATTTTTGTTTTATTTCAAAATTTCTTTTGAAATTGACGGCAAAAGTAAAGATTTGATGCAGTTTTTACACAAAGCATTATTTACCCCCCACCACCACCACCCCCTCCGTACATTGAGAAGTCTTAGTTGTAGTTCTGTCTCTTGTCGATCCTCTGTGTGGGGGAAAAATGTAAAAATKATAATTTTTCCTGTTTCTGCAGAAAGACCTGAGGAGAGTCAAGCTCCCAAACCAGCAAAGAAGAAGAAGGCGAGAAGAGAGACCTGAGACGGCTTCCTCCACTTCTCTGTATGCAAAAGAATTTGCGTCCTGTTTATGCAACACCTTAAGTGACGGGGACTTTGAACCATGATGTTATTGAAGGAGTTTACCTTAAAACCTGTCTGAAAGTCAAGTTTTTTTACACATTGTGTCGATTGTTGGATCATTGAAAGCTGAAACAAAATGCAGTGCAATCTAATATGAGGTGTTAATGATTTCTTTTTTTTTTTTTTTGTATGCATCCAAATCTTCTGATTTTGTCTTCTAATTCCACTGAATCAAATAATTGAAGGAGCTGTATTGTAATTCTTAGACGTGTAGAGAATCCTGATCATGTTTAGAAGATTGTTGTCTTGATGGATAACGMATGGCGTGGACTCTGTAGGAAACGGTTAATGGGCAGGGGGGTCACACAAAGACCGAGACAGAAAGATGAAGCGGCCTCTGCTCTGCAGCGTTTTAATCGGCGCCAACGTTTGTCGGACTGAACAGTTGGAGCTCAGTGAGGTGTAAACTATTGTTGATGTAAATGAGCGTCGTCAGGCACAGGAAAGAATCGTGTCTGCTCTGTATGTTTGCATCACTTTACGCTGCGATTCTGAAAGCGTCGTCGACTCTGTCCTCCTGGTTCGTCTGGTCTGATGTCTTTCTGCAGCGGGACGGCTGTTGTGTTTTCACAAAACACTTCTTCAGCGTCCGCCTCTTCTCCACTCAGAAGTCTTCAGAACCTTTTTGTAAAACTTGTTTGTAATAAAAGAAAAACTAAAGCCATATGTAAAAAGACTAAATAAAGGCCAGTTTTTCTATCTTTAGACAACTTGTTATTGTTGAATTATCACACACACACCTTGTTCCTGTTTGTCTTTGTTGGGGCTTACCACATCAAATAAGACATGCCTTACTCTSGTGGCATCCTGTTATAGTCCACCTCCAAAACAATCTATCTTTTTATAGTCATACATTAAATATGGCCCTACAAATATATTAAAACAGCCAAATTATATGAAAACGTAGGCATTTTTTAATTTTATTTATCATTTAGACATTTCTGGTTTTGCTGTAGGACAGTTTTCTCTCAAAGCGCATCAGAAGTCAGGGAAATGCCACTTACATTCCTCTGTTTCTATAGGCTCATTCAGAAGGCTCGTGGAAGTGGAGTGAGGAAACAAATACCCACGTCTGTCACGCTCTGAACCTCCAAGTGAGGTAGTGACAAATGGTGGGCTGGGCTTCGTTCTGACCGACACCTTCGGGAACCAACCAACAGCTGGTTTCTTAAATCAAATGCCAGACTGCAGCTTTTTTTTTCCCCCAAGCCCAGAGAGTTCCCCTTCATATAGGAGGAAACTTTATTGGYACAAATACTGGCTAAAATTATCCAACACATGGATAAAACTGTAAGACTCRGATMATTTTGAAACTTACATCTTTAAAAGACTTACATGACCGRATTTTGTTCYCTGCAGTATAATAAGGGACGAGTCCTGGGACTCAGCAGCTTGAGTGACCACCATGACATTCATGTGGCCCTTGTGGAAAATAGAATAGAAACAGCCTTTATTGTCCCGCAGMGGGGAAATTCAGGTGTAACAGCAGCAGCAGATACATCAGTCCACAAAACAATATATTGCTAAGTGACATTATCAACAGCAGCAATTATAATTAAATAATAATTAAAAATAAAATTACTGTACCAGGCTATGAAAATGAAATAAGATAAAAAATAAGATACTGTGCAGAAAAAAATATACAAAGAAAACAGACTCATGATCCGAGGGGGTGTGCAATTGAGTCAAGTCATTTCTGGCAGTGTGCAAAATGTATGTGTGTAATAAATATTGTACTGGGCATGATAATTTCAGTGCAGTGTTCCAGTACTGGAAAATAGATGTACAATAGCCACAGAGTAGTATTTATGTAATGACTCAGAAACAGTTGGTTATTGTGCAAACACAAACATGGATGCTTATTGAGTTTGTTGGGAGCAGTGCTGGTTATAGAGTCTAACAGCTGCTGGGACTCAGCACTCTGTCACTGAAGGAGCTCTGCAGATCAGCAACAGCTTCATGCATGTAGYGGGAGACATTTTACCCAGAGTTCTTCTGTCTCCCACCACCTGCACTGGGTGGGGGGGCATCCCAGCACAGAGCTGGCCTTCTTGATGAGGTTATTTAGCCGCTTCCTTTTAGCTATAGATAAGCTGCTGCTCCAACGTACATAGCAGATGGCTGAAGCCACAAGTGTGTCAAAGAAGGTCAGAGCACCCCCTGCACTCCAAAAGACCTCAGCCTCCTCAGCAGGTAGAGTCTGCTCTRAGTTTGTCTTGTGCTACTTTTTCCTTGTCATTTAAGGAGACGGCACAAGCATCGACAATAAGTTATCCTAACTTTGGTAAATATCATCTACCTTGCCGGTTGGGCTGGTTTCTCCGGCTTGCTGCCATGTGTGCACAATTTCTCTGATTGGCAGCATCCTTCATAGTTGGATTAAAGAATTTTGAATGCTGTTTTGAACCAAGATGTAAC